CTGGCTTAAAGGGAATCATTGGGTTCCTATAATATTGTACAGTCTTGACTTTGACATTTGAATTAGCCAGGTCAATTTTACAATATTTGTCTTTTATCTCAAAAGAAAAGCACCTTGGATCAACTTCTGTTGTCTTATATTGACTATATAAATAAGTGTGACTTGACTTTTTGGTCTCAGAGCTTTCAGCAAAAGAAAACCTGTGCATGCTCGCTCCTCATCACCAAACACACACATTTAGCAAGTGAGCATTGGGAGGCGCTCAGCAGCTACAGCCAGGTATTTTTAGTAAAGACCCAAACATAGCTAAAAGGAGTGAATAATAACCTGTACGTCTTCAGGTTTGCCACAAACAAAATTCTAAATAAATGCTAACATTCTTACATGTCTGCTGGATGTCTGTTCATGATTATGGTCAGAACCGCTGCTTTACTTCACCCAAGAGATGTTCTCTGGATGCAAGAAATCAATGTAAGCATCAAATATAAAAGAACAATGTGTAATGTATTGTTATTATGGGTAGTAAATGAAGGCTTTCAAATTTCCGTATGCAAGTTTTCAGGTTGCTTGTCTTTTCTTTTTTTAGTTTCAACAAACCTGTAGAATATTTCTCAATCATGAAAACAACGAAGCTTTACTTAATAAAAGGCGAAAAGCATTTTAATAAAATGGAACACAGTACAAATCAACAGTAATCTTACTATAATACAGCTGAACTAACCCAGGTTGTTCACATATGAAGAGGGTCAAATGACAAAAAAAAAATTAACATTAAACTTCAAAATATGTTGTTTTTTTTTCTTTTTCTTCCAAATAACAACAGAAAGGGCATTTAAACAGGTTATTTGTAAAAAAAAAAAAAACATCAGCATAGCAAGCAACCTCAGTGTCTCGATGACAGTGCAAAAAAAGGCATATTCTTCCAAATGGCGTGACGACTTGCACAACGTTCTTCTGATCTTCGGTTAAACCCGAAGCAGCTCCTCCTCTGCTTTTTTTTTCCAGTGCTTGCTTTGTCACATGTCACCTGTGAGACGTTTGAAAGCCTTGAAGACGGTTTCCGTGGGTCAACGTGAGGCAGGTTGAGAAAAATAACTTAGACCGTGCGGTATGGAAAAGGTTTGTGACGACGGCAATCAAAGTAGGCTGGAACTGCTTTCACACACATGCCACATAGTGACAAATAATGCTGGAAAACAGTGTATATGACCCCTTTTGTTTACTGTAGTAGTATTTGGTTTGTGTTAGAAAAATGAGAGATTTTGGCCACGGAAGACTGTATCTGCGCGTATGTTTGGGTGATGGGGAGACTGTACATGAGATCTGAAATAAGAGGCCACATGTTAAACTCAAACACCATACAGGGAAACAGCAGATGAATAAGTGAGTGGATGGATGGTTGGATGGATAAATAAACAGATGGGGTTGATTCGATGCTTCATGCTGCCGATCGTCGACGGATGACGAAGGCTCCCCTCTGCAGCTGCCCCAGGTAGATCCTCATCTTTGTACTGTCGCTCGTCTTTCTGACCCAAATCTGGACGACACAGACAGAGGAAACCCCTTTAACACAGTCATTTAGAAATGCTACAGCAGCTGTCATTGGTACAAAATAAATCACCACTATCTAAAAAAATCAAGGTTATTTCTGACAAAAACATTACATTTTTAAAGATGAGCTTTTTTTTTTCAGTGTAGTGGTAGCTTTGTTTTGATGAGAGTGGGAAATTAGCACTTGTTTCAGGTGAAGCCCTTCTAAAAATCTGCAAAATGTATCTGCGACTGGTATCTGTTCCTGTTCTGCCACTCGAGCAAACGCCACTGCCACGTTCTGGGCAGTAGCGTAGCTTCAAGTAGTGGGATTACTAGTAACAGCGAACAGCTTTTCACTAACAACCTTTATCGATCAAGTAGTGCTTCCACATGACCTACATTTTCCCGAGCATTTCAGAAACGTTGAGCACAGTGGAGCCTTCATTGCAGTCTGAAGTAAAACTAAAAATCAGTACATGACATAACAGCAATGCACAGCCTTATATATACGGGGGGCAAATTAAAGAAAAATCCAACAGAAAAGTGCCTCAGTAAGGTGTTGGACCACCACATGCTGTCAGAGCAGCTTCAGTGCACCTTGGCATTGATTCTCTGAGTCTCTGGAGCTCTACTGGAGCAATAAAAACAGCTTTCTACCCAAAAGTAGCAGTGTTTTAATGACGGCGGTGGAGTGCGCTGTCTAACTGGGCTGCGATCTGGACCGCAGCATATGAGTCACATCATTTTCAAACTCATCAGACCATCCAGTGACCCTATGAATCAGGGCACTGTCGTCCTGAAAGAGTCCACTCCCATCAGTATAGAGGATCACAGGATAAAGAGGATTACTCAGAATAACTTTGTATTGATTTGGAGCGAGTCTTTTCTCTAAGGGGGAAAGTGGACCTAAACCATGCCAGCAAAATGTCTCACAGCGTACCAGATCCTAAAAGACAAGGCTTCAGGTTTGTGTATAAGCAGCTGACAGATGCATTTCCATACAATCATAACACAACATCCCAATCCGTAGTGCAGTCTGCAAACACCAGCTAGCAGCGAGCCAACAGCTAGCTACAGGCTGGCTAGGTGTTTTACACTGACTGCAGGCAGCGAATTAATACAATTAAATATAAAAATTAAATAAATAATCTAATGCAGTAAACTACTTTTGCCATGTCACTGGAGCTTCACTGTAGCTACATTTCTCTGGGGGCAGCGTTGGGGTAGTGAAGCATAATTTAATGTAGAGTAACTGCTAGCTTAGCCTGCTACACTTTTCAAGTAGCTCATTATTGCAATAAAATAAATAAATAAATAAATTGGTCGCAAATGTTTAGTTTCATTTAAGGAAAAAGCAAACAAGCTCAATAATGTCCTAAAACAACTCGGCCCTGTAATTTATTAGCTAATGTTCCTCAAACTATTCTCAGCTGTGTGCTAATACACACAATCTGTTTTACTTAAAGTTCATTTTCACACATGAGGAATCTGACTTGGTGTTTTGATGCATAACAGTAAACACAGACAAGATGAAGTTTTAAAGGAAGATTAAACAAAGCGAGCGCTGCAAGTGACGACTATTTACAGCAGCAGGACAGTGTCTGTGGCATTCAGCCTGTTAATAAAAACATGCCACCCATTGCAACAGCGTGGCTCGCTGATGTCTTTTTAATGGTTTTTGGACAACGACGGAGCTCTACGGCACAGAGGAATAAAACAGATCTCGCTTTGCCTACGCAGATACTTGTCTGTCAGATCAATTCGCTTGTGTTCTCGTGGGAATCGCTGACATTAATAAAGAAAATCGAGCCGTATCTCTTGAGCAGTAAACACAGAATCTGGACGTGAAGTAAAACTCACCTCATTGGTTCCCACTGAGCTGATGACACAGCTGATCTTTGTGTTGTCCTTTGACTCCAGGTAGATGGCCTGGCTCTTGTGGTACCTGTCAGCATAAATCGGACACAAACAGCATCACTTTGACATTCTTGGTAAAAGAAATGAGGGACAGGCCCGAGTGTAGACAGGAGAAGGGTTCATTATACAGAATTTTACCCAGCTGAATAAACCCCGTTCCTCCTGAGACGGCACTAAGTAGATAATTGGACAGGAAAGTCAAAACAAAAAAGTCTGTTATTTTTTTAATGGCTCCAAACTGTCAGAGGACAGAACCAACTCTGAGGAGGAGACTGGCAGTCAACGTATTTGATCATTAAGGGCCCACTGAAGAATAATGACGCATGTGTCTCCCTGTGGCTTTCAGAAGCCTCTCCGGTGGCGGCGTCTTTTTTAGCAATGAATAAATGAGACTTTGCCTTGAAATAAACGAGCGCATACCTCAGAGCTGCCTCCTTTCAGCTCCTTCTGACTACATCACAAGCTAATAGGACAGAATTCTATTATTTTTTTACCCCTCTTGATGACCTTATGTTCTGACAGGTTTGATGCGGAGCTCGGCTCTCGAACAGAAAGGCCGGCAGAGCTGTGTCAGGTCAAGGATTTATATTCTCTTTACATCTGCATCACGGCAGAGCGCCACGTGATTCCAATGCAGACATATTCACTGAATATGTATTTTCACCGGTGGCTTCAAGCACCAGCACATATTCAGTGGTTCATAAGTAATATCTCTTTCTGTAGCCCAGACAAAAAGAGGCTGCCTTCCAAGTGGTTAGAAAAATGTCTCTTGAAGATCAGCCTTGCATCAGAGCCATCAAACCCGCGGCAATGTGGCCATCTAGTGGTGACACAAAGCCATGTGCGGATAGGGAGCATGTGAGGGCATGCTCAGATCTGCCAATAAAGCTCACCATCTTTTGTCGTAGTAAAGTTTGCCCTCCTCGATGCGGGCCTCGTAACGCTGGGAGGGGCTCTCCATGGGGGCAGAGGGGACGTGCTCTGGAGATGAAGGAGATACTAAAGACAGAGACGCACAGGAATGAGACATACGTATTGACAAATTATTGTACAATGGTAAAGTTTTGGGAAATGTGAGCATGTGTGAGTGTGTGAAGAGCAACACAACTCTGTTATCTGTGTGACAGCTAGCTGAGCTTAGCATTGACAAAAAAAAGAGCAGTAAATCAACATGTTGCGGTACTATATGGATTGTGTGGTGGATGATATGTTTGCGGGGAGATGTCCTGATTTCTCTGCTGTCAACCTGATGAATACAACTACCTGAAGTTAGTGCTTGCAGCTAAAAATAGCCCTCACTTACTTACCTTCAGACCAAGCCATGCTAGCTGTTTGTGCTAAGCTAAGCTAAATGGCTGTAGCTTCAAACTTAGTATACATGACATGACAGTGCATCAATGTACAACTCTAACTCAGCAATACAGTAACCAAGTTTGTTACCCTAAATCACATATATTTCCCTCCTTTTAAGTACATAGCTCGTGACAAGTGTACGTTAAGTGTAAAAAAGGTGAGCGCTGACATACCTGGCCGTTTCGGTGACTTAAGCTGTAAAGAGAAGGTGTGAAAATGGTTAAAATGAGGAGCTACAATAAATGGCGCTCAGCAGAGACGTGACATAAAATCGAGAAATTCCAAAACACTGACCTTATTCAGTGTTCTTAGATCTTCCATTATCTGCTCGTCCGTTAACAAATAGTTTAGCTGAGGTGTGAAGAGTTAAGGAAGATGTGTTGAGGTTTAAACTGACTCTGGCCTCCCTTTGACTGAAAACAAAACTTCTCCTCTGATGGATCAAAACACATATTGAGAAAGCAAAAATATCATCAGTACAAATGGGTTACTGCTCACAGATTGATCTAAAGTTAATGCTTACGTGCAAACTGTACTCAATCAGAGACTGAAAAGTGTACATGAAGGATATCTGGTGCAGGTTTTCTTCGTTTGTCGGGTATTGGGACCGGATCGTTGGGCCGCCTCCTCAGTTTCCGTGTCATGATAGGTTTTACCTCCATTGAATCTACGGACGACAGAAATAATGACTGAGTGAGATGCAAAAAATAAAATTTAAGATGTGCAAAACTTCAAAACAACCTCTGTAATCTGTGTGAAAAATAAGCAGCATATACTGGCAATTTCAAAGGACGGACAAGAACATCTTAACTTTGTCTCAAAGTGCTACTTTTATCAGACAACTTGATAAAGTGTGAAGAGAGAAAAACTCTTTTCCACCCACATACTTTTTTTTTTTTTTTTTACCCCATTTCTCTCTCTTCTGCTGAGCAAGTCCCTGATTAATAATCCTGTTCTGGCTCCCTTACCGCCTGTCAGCTCCATTGTTAATTTCTCGTTCTCAATCATCTTCTTTTTCTCCTCCAGCTCTGCAATTAGGTTTTCCTTCAGTTCAACCTTTTTATCATCAAACTCCTTCACCGCTGCCTTCTTCTCCTTGATGTAGTTCCTCTCAACCTGCTCTGTCTGCAGAGGGGTACAAAGACAGAACGGACTAAGGGGCAAAGCGGTTGCATGTTTACCTTGTGAAGCCCAAAAAGTAAAGGTTCATTTTACATAAACAACATCAGTCAGTTTGGGATATTAGAAACTCTGCTCACCTCAAGCTGCAGAAACAGATCTGGAAAGGGAAAATAAAACATAATGGGTCACAGTCACGTAAAACAAACTTCAGTTCAGTGTCATTTGATCTTCTTTCGTTAGCCTAAAGACCAGAAGAGAGAACGCTCAAGAAGGGGGCATAGTGCTGGGCTACAAAGTGCTAGCAAATGTCTACGAACTTAAAAGCAAAGGAGAAAACCTGCAATTAGCAAAGCATCTTTGACTGAGATTCACCCTTTCTACATTTTTAGATTCAGTCATCAATTAGTCATTCATGAATGTCTCCTCTCGGGCCATTAAGAGTCTAGAGGCAGAGCCTTTCTGCAAAGCTGTCTGAGCAAAATGAACCCAGCAATTTTGCTAAACAATAAACAGAGAGAGTAAAATCATTGCAAAAAGAAAACAAAAGAAAACAACTCATCACACACAAGACGAGTTATTGAGTTAACAAAAATAACAACAGTCAAAACAGGTTCACACGGTGAAACGTGGACAGATTGGGAGCAGCTAAAGAGGAAGATAGCTCAGGCATGCGAAAAGCAAACTTGAGTCCTGTAAGTTTGACTCAGTATACAATGAATTTCATCATTAATCTTCAAACAACATGTTTTAATCACCGTCTGCATGTCAGAAATATACGACTAATGTCACCCTACATAGTGCTTTAAATATGGAACTCCATCCGACCCAGCAGCTACCTGGATGTCAAACAGCCAGATCACTGATTGTTTAGCCGACTGATCGAGCACAGTGAACTGAATGTCAAATGACAACTTATCTGGACGAATTTCTGCACAGTTGTCCGTTCATGTAGCACTGGCTGACTACCACATGTCAGCATCAAGGCTTCAATCAAAGATTTGTTTGCAACACTTCCACGGCCAACTTCTTCCATCCATCACATGGGCTACTTTTCTTCCCCTAGTCCTCAACTCCAAGCTGTTGTTTAGCGGCATGTGTGCTCCCCTGGCTCAACAAAACCAAACTAAAGCAGAAAGTGCTCAAAACTTGTAATAATCTCAGGCTGTTCTGTTCTTGCCTGCATTTCGGAGTCTCTCTTTGTATTGCTGGTCCAGCTTCTTCATCCTCTTCTGATACTCCTGCAGTGTACCTGCAAAGACAAAACTGTGATTTAGAAGTTTGTGTAGGATGAGGAGAAGTTATTAAAAGTGCAACACAAGCAGTAATCAAAGTGCATCATCTCGGTCACTTTCCATTCTCAGCTACCACCCACGGTCTAGACTAGGTTACACTGACATTGCACTGACATTTGGATTTGCAAAACACAACCTATCATTCGGCAGTTTTCGCACTCAACATCATTCCCAATGATAAGAGCCTTATTGGACAGCTGGTGGTGCAACACTACCTCCAAACAGCACCGTCAGCAGTTCAGAAACAGTTTGCATCAGTAAACAACAGACAGATTATCTAAAATGAGCTGTTCACGGCAGAGGACTGGCTGTCATCATCCGTTTCTCAGTTGGTTTCTCTTTTCAGCCAGTAACAACGGCAGAACTTTTAAACTGACGTAATCCCTGTCCACAAACCCCCGTGAGTAACAAGTGAGGATCTGGCTGTGCCCTTCAACACTTTGTAATGAAAGCAAATCCCACACGATAAAGTGCACCAGTAATTCGCATTAAAACTGCCAATAACAAAAAAAAAAAAAAAGAAAATCAAAGTCATTACCTTCTTGTAATTGCTGTAGCTGTCTTTTCAGAGAGGCCAGTTTGTCTTGGTACATCCTGCAAAGAAATAAACCAGAGCTAATGCCACAGTCCCTTTACGCCGTGCAGCATTAGTGCAAACACTCTAAACTTTCATTGCTAATTTGTTTCTATTAAAGGTTAGCAAAGCTGATCCGTGCATGGCTGGCAAAACACTTACTGCTCTTTGATTTCCACATAGTCATCCTCGTCGTGCTTGGCAAGGTCTGTTTCACTGGCATCCTCGGTGTCTGGAAAAAAAAAAGGGGGGCATGACAGGAGAAGAGCTGACTCAGATTTCAAAACTGTTTCTCCGACCATAATTTCAATCTGACTCTGTTTTAGTACAAATATACTTTCACACATGTGTCATTTCAACCGGAGTTACACTTAAATAATTTAGATTTTCAATGAGAATTTTGATCAGTCCACAGGCAACTGAGATCAGTGCAGATCAAAGGACGTGCCTGGCACTGGTAAGGTAATGGTGCACACCCTGCCTGGGAATGCCCTCCGATTTGGCAGACTGGGAGACCAGGAGGGAAATCCACGTTTTGCACCACATACTCTCTCGGATCGACATCAGGAAAAGTTGAGCCAGACGAAGCTAAGGTGACACGTTTCACACCACCGGCGAGCCGTGCCTTTGGGGCTTGTAAGTTCAAATCCAATGACATGAATACAGCGAGTGTTAATGTCAAGCATTTGCCGCATGGTGTGAATAATCAGCACGGTGCCCGGCTAACTTGGTGCTGCTGTCAGTCCGACGGCAAACTCAGTCGAAATGACGCTAACATGTTTCAGCGATGTGGCAAACTCGGGGAAGCAAGTTTACAGAAGCGCCGGCTGACCTCAGTCATTCGTCTTTACCTTGAAACACCGGGACAAGCCAAGAGTAAGGCCCGGTCGTGTTAAGCTGACACAGCAGCTTTCATTTTCGGTTAGCATTAGTGTGCTAGCTTAAGTTAGCTCCGTGTGCTGTTTGAAGAGTAACCCGATTCTAGCGTCACGTAGTTAGGAATATCAGGACATATCCGGAGGAGAGAGGGAAAAAAAACAAGTACAGCCGCTCGCTTGGAAGTCAATGTCAGGAGACTAGCTAACCTTGTAGTGCTGTCATCGCCTTTTCTCCTCTTGCCTTTCTTTCCCTTTCACTGCAATCCGTGCTGTCTCGCTGGATAGTGTGAAAAGGGCAGTGCAGTCAGTGGACACGGCACGCAGGGTTTCGCCTGCCTGCCGACCTGTCAATGCTCGGCGCTAACGTTACGTAGCTAGTTGGCTAATTAACGTTGTGTACTCCATTTGGCACAACGTTAATTACAAGGCCGTCCGAAACACGGTTACAGTCAGTTTAGCTTACAGCTGTGTTTAGCGGGAGACATTTAGTGCAAAATAACGCAAAGCCAGTCTGGCCGATAATAATGTAGTTCAAGCTGTCGCCGAAATGAAGCGAAATGCTAGCGAGTTAGCATGTAAACAAATATTAGTTTAATGGTAAAATTGGCGGCTCAGTTTGCTACAAGCACTGGAAACGTTCAGCAGTGTACTCGGTTTATTTAACTCAAATCCTCTGCTCCCGAAACTGAGCACAGTCTTGGCCGGAGGAAGTCAAGTAGCTCTCCCGATGTAGCTCGCAAGCTAACTGCGTGCGACTAGACCTCGCATTGGACGAGCTTCCCACCTTTGGAAAGAGGCGCTTTAATTTATACTTAAAGACTGCTACAATAGCGCATGCCACACTGTACGTGAAACAGCTTCCACTCGATACGAATAAATATAGCTAAAATGTTGAACTGAAAGAAACAGCGACATTTATGCGATAACCCGCGCGTTTCTGTTTGTTTTCCAACAAGTAGACAGAGCCCGACGGTCGGGCAGCTTTTGGTGAATTCGTTACCTTCTTCCGAATCTCTTCCCCTGAAACTCCGATCGTCGTCGTCGTCCACGCTGTCGAGTTCCTCCTCGTCGTTGTAGTAATCCACCATGGGTGATAGCAAAGTGGAAGCCATTTGTTCGCTTTGAAAATGTAAACAAACACAAAATAAACAATCAATTTGTGTTTTGCAGCTTGCTTGGAACAGCGCCTACAACTGGCAGGACCTCCGCTCGTCAAGCTGTCGGACCATATGCCTGTACACAATGTCTGCGAAGTTATCGTGTAATATATTTATAAAATATTTCATATGGTTTTTGAACTAATTGAAACAAATTATTTGAGATATCTTTGATCAAAAAATAATAATAGTGCTTTCTGTTGACGTATAGGGATCTACGGTGAAATATATAATCAGGCATATTTCCGAGCACAAGGGCTCGTCGGGGTCTCTGTTTGGGCTCCCGGTTGGCTCCATTGTTGACTCGCTAATACTACATGTATTTTGAGTGTATCTGTCATTAGGTTACAGGTGAAATCCAGTGTTTTTCAATTAAATCGCCACATCTTAAGATGTGTTTCTGCCTCCAGCCTATTTTCCAGTGATTATACATAATTGTGAATTAGTTAATTTAACTAGTAGCCACAAAAGAGCTTGTTTTATTTACTGTTTCCTAATTATTCCTAACATTGTGGTATCAAGGCTTCAGCACACTGTCACGTACAGAATACTAAATTCATCTACGCTATTTTGATTAAATGATTCTTTGTGGGCAAAAAGTAGCAGAATCATCCCCAAAACGCTTACAGTGTTTACATGTGTGTACCTGTAGCTTGATAATTAGAAAATGTAAAAACTCCCGGAGGTGATTCTTTTCCATATTATTGGAAATGATGTGGAGGGCATGACTTCTATGTGTTCTTAGGCAGCAATAACCCATTCTTAACTGAAAACTAAATATGTAATTCATTTTTTTAAAGTCCCAGATTTAGGCCCAAAATCTTGCATTTGTCATGTTTCTTTTCAACTTAAACTAGACACAGACTAGTCTATGTTGTGCAGGCCTTCTAGGAGAGCTGCAGATTTTTATAAGCAGCTGTTTCAGTAGATTTACTGCTCGCATCAGTAAACGACTCAGCATTTGGTCTCAGTGTGTAGGTCACATGCTTTTCAGCATGTGGAAGCATAAACCTTAACTTGAAATCGGACCACATACAGATGCAGGTACCACAAAGGTTACACTTGGTTTCAGTTCACTTTATTTCACTACACTCAGTGCCACTGCTCCCTAGGGAGTGCAGTTTATATAAGCTGACTTCTAGTGAGGGCATGATCATTCTCTGTACAAAGTGTTTTCAAATGTGGATATTTGATGTGTTTCTTTGACATCTGTAATATTAAACAATATATATTTAGATTTTGACAGTTTGGACAAAACAGCACATATTGGGAGAAACAGTAGCAGGTATTTTTCACTCTGTCTTGCATTCTACAGTCCAAGCATTTAGTGTGCAGTCTATGCTACAATAAACAACATGAGAGAAGCACTTGACACTTTCACCATTCCCTGATTTTACTTCTCACAAAGGATTATTGTGTTATTGTTACTACTACGGAAACACTGGCTTGTGCAGCTCCAAGACAAATGCAGGAGCCCTGCACTGGCTTCTTAACTTTTTCGGGATGAATCAGAGTCTCATTTGGTGTGAGTGGTCCATTGGAAGTGTGCTTGGGCCCATCATTGAACAGTGATGGGTGGAAACATCCTCTGCTGCATTTCTACTCATAAACTGAGTGTGTGAAGTTTGATGCTGGTGGTCTGACCTCTGCAGGTGTCAGCTTGGGTACCGGAAATTAGTTGATTAAACAGAAAATAATAAAGATAATCATTAGTTGCAGCCAACTAACCAATGGGAGAAGAGATCGCTCTGTTGTTGTTGTTGTTTCTTTGCGTTGTCTTTCTGTGTTTGTTCAGAATCTTGCAGTTTATGATGTTTTTTAATAGATTTGCTTTTATGTGATATTGTCTTTTCATTAAGGATGTATTATTATTTTATTTGCACTTATTAATGGGAACATATTACATTTTGTATTTTTGCATTGTTTGTCTTCTTGTTATAACTTTAGCTTAATTTCACCTTCATTTTTACTTTGATTTGTTTGGCCCTACTGTGCGGCTTCTTGTTCATATATCGTCGTATGCGTCCAGCATTAGCTTTGTCTGTCAAAGCACTTTGTAAATCATGTCTTTTGCTAAGTGCTAAGGTATTGTTGTTATTATTATTGTTATTATTAACAACAACATTAATAATAATACAGTTGCTTGCCTCCACAGATAAAGTAAAGCAAATATACAAATAAATGTGTATTTTTCCAAACTAAGTGCTTTATTTTGTGTTTTTAGTATTTGCAATGGGTGAATTCATTAACAAAACCAGCCTTTGAAGGCTAGAGATGATCAGCAGTTGGTGGCACAAAGAGTTCAGTGTGGAAGTGAAGGCTTGTAAGCAGGTGAAACACTGGAGCTGTTAGATATGAGAGACACAGGAGGATCTGACATGGAAGTACAATTCATCAGAAAAGTTGCAAACAATAAGCACTACAGCAGGGGTCTCCAATCCTGGTCCTCGAGGGCCACAGTCCTGCATGTTTTAGATGTTTCTCTCTTCCAATACACATCATTCACATGATCAGCTCGTCATCAAGCTCTGCAGAAGCCTGATAACAATCCTGATCATGTGAATCAGGTGTGTTGGAAGAGGGACACATCTAAAACATGCAGGACTGTGGCCCTCGAGGACCAGGATTGGACACCCCTGCACTACAGAGTTCTACTCAGCTGGCTTACAGGTGAAGCCAGAGAGTCACTGTGACAATACCAAAGTCACAGAACAATGTGGCACTGGGGAGTAGAACGAGTCAGGGTTTTATTGATGAGGTGAGATGAGCTGCAGGTGTCTCATCAGCCAGGCGCAGAAAGCCAAACTACGCCCTCGACCACACTGAAAGGGAATGAGGTTCACTGCAAGAGGGGAAAAAACAAAACCAAATCATACAGTTAATAAACAAGGATCTGAGAAGTGTGGTCCTGAAACTGCAGCGTGCTATTTGGGTGAAACAAACATTTTGAGCTCCATGTATGGGTACGGAAAGACGTGCTTTGGGTGGAGCAAATCCTTAAAGCCACAACTTGTGCATTAAATCTTTGAAACTTCACATGCTTTGACAGAACATAGTATTTTGGGTGAAATATGATCTTAAAAAATCATACATACTTGGAAGTAAAGTACTATTTGTGTGGAATACATCTTTAAAACTATGAGCCTTGCACTTTAACGGTCATCCAGTTAATAAACAAGGGTCCTTGAAGCGTGGTCCTGAAACTACAGCCTGCTATTTGTGTGAAACAAACATTTAAAACTACAAGTACCAGGACAGAAAGTAACATGTTGGGTGAAATACAATCTTAGAAAAGTATAAATACTCAGAGCTAAAGTACTATTTGGATGAAGTAAACCTTTAAAACTATGAGCCTTTAATGATCATCCAAAGTATGGTCCTGAAACTACTATTTGGGTGAAACAAATATTTAAAACTATAAATACTGGGACAGAAAGTAGTATTTTGTGTGAAACAAACCTTTAAAGCCACCACTTGTTTGCTAAAAGGAAATATGTGAGTGGATTAAACCTTTAAAACTAGGATCCTTGCACCTTGAAATCATCCATTATCTATACACCGCTTAATCCTCACGAGGGTCGTGGGGGGCTGGAGCATATCCCAGACAGGTAACCAGTCTATTGCTGGGCTACACTTACACTCACATTCACACCTACGGACAATTTAGAATTACCAATTAACCTCAGCATGTTTTTGGACTGTGTGGGAAGAAGCCGGAGAACCCGGAGAGAACCCACGCTGCACGGGGAGAACATGGAGACTCCACACAGAAAGATTCCGGTGCCCCCACCGGGACGCAAACCAGCAACCTTCTTGCTGCTAGACAACAGTGCTACCAACTGCGCCACCTTGAAATCATCTAATTGATAAACAAGGGTCCTAGAAATGGGGTCCTGAAACTGCAGCCTACTATTTGGGTGGAATACACATTTAAAACTATGAGTACCTGGACAGATAGTAATATTTTGGGTGTAACAAACGTTTAAGCCACAACTTGCTTGCTAAAAGGCAATATATGAGTGGATTAAACCTCTAAAACTAGGATCCTTGCACCTTGACATCAACTAGTTGACAAACAAGGGTCCTAGGAGTGAACCTGCAGCCTCCTGTGCTGCAGCCATATAACATCAGGTATTACTGGGTTAACGCTATAATGTGAAGTTACAAAAAGACACCAGCAGATGGCAGCATTGCACTGAGCACTCTTAGCACGGACTGGCCTGGCATAGGTGAAGTTGCAACAGAATCTGGATGACTCAGTGCATGCATCTTTAATGATTTGCAAAGGAAATAAGGTAGAGAGGATTGTTGTGTGTTATACCTGCAGCGTTCATTTAAAGCAGTGACACAATAATTAAATCCTTGAATAGCATATATATTTTTTTCTTGTTGCATTGGATTTGGGTAAAAACGGATTGCAAGAGAATCACTTTTGCTCTGCAGTTCTGCGCATAACGGGCGAGAAAGTTTCCTCCTCCGCTACGCGACCCAACTTTATCTTCCGGCTGTCTGTCAAAGTAGCTGTCAAACGGAGCCGGAGAGGGGCCGAGCTCCCGCTGCTCCGTCATTCAGGAAGTCTACACCAACTGACAGCACTTCGAGAAGTCACGGCGACAGCTCCGGAGTCGGACTAAATACTCGCGAAGTTAGGAAATAGAAGAAAAAGGTAAGCTGCTTTTATTTGTTTATTTTTGGTTAATTTTACGCGCGTGTTGTTGTCGCCGCTGTCACCGTTTGTCCCCCTTCTTCTTCTTCTTCCTCCTCCTCCTCCTCCTCTCCCCGTTTAACGGCTAACACGCTACAAGCCCGTCTAACTGAAATGACACTTCCTCTTGGCTCAACGGCTAAAAGCTACTCAAGCTAGCGGCGGAAGAAAAGTGGATAGAAACGGTTTGGACTGCACCTGAAGTTAAAAAAAAAAAAAAAAAAAAGCGCCCACCGTCGCCTGGTTTCGACGTTGTTCGGCTTGTTGTTTGAATGCCAGTCCGCTCGGAGGTTTGCTGAAAGCGGCTGCGGTGATATAAAAGTGCGTAGTTTTTTCTTTGCTCATTTTTTCACGGTTCATTTTTTTTTCATGTGCACGCACCTGCTAATCTTGAAATTCGGGGTATTTACGTTGAAGAAGCTTCGCCGTATTTTTTTATTATTTTTTTATTTTTTGGTTCGGTCCTCCCCGGGGGTGAGTACGCTGATACATGACAGGTTGTAGTAGAGTAGAGGGCTTATTTAATTTGTGTTTTAAAAAGGAAAAAAAAAAAGGCACGACACAAGAGGGCTGAGTGTTAAACTTGTCCTGGTATTTTTTTTAAGCCGTGTCACGCCGTGTGTTGGCTGTCAGTGTGCGTTCAGCGTGTCACATCCACCGTGGTACCGTCCATTGCATCTTACATTGTTGTGAGTGAGATTTTTACTATCAAAGCGCAGTCACAATGGCTTTCGGTTCCACTACACATGACCCGAACCCCATTTTTTTTTTTTTTTTTTTTTACTACTCTCTCTGTGCAGCATCCCCTTGCTTTTATTCAGACTGTAGTAGCAGCAGATGCACAATACAACAACCGTGCGTCATTCATGTTTTGACAAGAAGGTCATCACCTGCGCGCAAGGCAAGACGGCGCATTTTTGGTTAAATAAGCAGCGTTAAAAAGTAAATGCAAGGCTTCCATGACGCGCTTAGAAATGGCAGATGTAGATAGCAAGCTGAGCACTAAAACCCAAGCTGACCCAACATGATGTCATCTCTTCAGCGTGTAGAGCGCATGAGTGAGAGGCAGCAGACCCGTGTTCCCTCCACTGCTAAACTGTGTCATTTGTAAAGATTTATTTTAAGAAGCCTGCCCACGCAATTTCAGCCACGGATCACCAGGATTTAATCCCATATTATGACACTGCACCTGCATGCCATTCAAACTCGATTTTGTGGAGAGCTGCAGGGATGAAGGATGCAGTCTGGCACATTTGTTTTTGCAGTTTCTGCAGAGAGTGTTGTCAAGGTTTTTGTGCTTTTCTTCGCAGCCTTTGTGTCAGTGTGTGAGTTTCAGTGCCCTGATTCAGTTTTGTTCAAAAGGCACACCACTATTGTGCAAGTCCCCTCTCCTATTCCTCCTTATCTATTAGGCTCACCGGCCACCTATTGACCGTACAGCCAAGAGAGGGAACAGAAAGTGACATACTTCCTAATTGGTGATGCTATCTAGGGCAGCTCATTATTTATGATTTTGCTTTGATTGGGACATTTCCTGGTAAATGTTGAAATCATCCAGATGGATATTGTGAACGTGCTAAATGCTTTGTTTTGGAAAGCCCCATCTAGAGAAGTAAATGCATTTTATAGTGTATGTAAATGCTGCACAATAAATCATTTCAGCATCAATACAGCAATGTGCACACATGCAATACTCACATCGCAGAAAGTATAATGTGAGGTTATGTCAAACACATCAACTTTTTTTACTGCTGGATACAAAACCAAAATGGTTTTCCATAACTAATTTGTCTGATATGATATTATTGACTCCAATTTAAGGGCCAACAAGACAAAGTTTGTTGACATATACTGAACATCGAATAAGGAGCAGGAGAGAAACGCTCAAAAGAAAGATTTGACTGCGAAAAGAAATGCAACAGAATTATTTTGGCTATAGTAAGGATGACGTTGAGCAAAATCAGGTACTCTGTCTTTCAATTTTCGTGACCATATGAGGCAGCATGACTAATTTGTTTGACTATTTGAAATCAGCACCACAGATCCACTACAGATAGTTTTTAAGTCTTATGGTGAAAAGTCTTGTTTTTTTCTTTAAGTCACAGGGAAAAAAACAACTATCATAATGTCATTTTTTTCTAAAATCATGCAGCCCTGATGCATGTTGTGAAACGTGAGACTTTCAAGCATGAGGATCAGAAAAGAGATTTAAGCGCATAATCAATATACACTAATGTTCTACTTTCATTTGGCCTTTGTTAACCACAGGATTACACAGGTCTATATGTAATGTGACAACAAGCCTCCTTTAGCCAGGGGTCTTCTCATGAATTCGCACAAATCCCTTTGAGTACCAGTGTTTTATGTGTGTGTGTGTGTGTGCGTGCGAGCTGATGGATGCACTGGGAAAGGACACATCAGCTGCTCTTGACAATTGGCTGATGTCGCTGTCAGAGCCAGGATGATGGGGTGGGGGGTGTGAGCCAGACATGATCACACTGAGGCCATGTTCGCACCACAGACAGCACGTTTACACGAGGGACTGGCTTATAGTGGGTTCAAGCTCAAGTCAAATGCAATTTTTTTTTTAGGGATGACTGGCAACACAATACCAGAGGACTGTGTCATACCAAGCCTTCATTTAGTTACTGACTTCATTTAGTTATGGTTCATTCATTTAGTTAGATTATTTTCACCACTATCTCTCCATGATTACTTATAGTTCTGTCTTTCTTAGCGAAATCTTGGGCCTCATGCAAGAACATTAGTTTAATTTTTATCCTAGAACTCTGATGCTGGGCTGCAAGGTAGCGCAGTTGGTAGCATTGTTGCCTCGCAGCAAGAAGGTCACTGGTTCACGTCCCGGTGAGGACACCAGGATCTTTCTGCATAGAGTTTGCATGTTCTCCATGGGTTTTCTCCGGGTTCCTCCCACAAGTCCGAAAACATGGACATTGAGGTTAATTGGTGATTAAATTGTCCGTAGGTGTGAATGAGAGTGTGCTTGGCTCTTTATAGACTGGCGACTTGTCCAGGTGAACCTGCCTTCGCCCTAAGTCAGCTGGGATAGACTCCAGCCCCCCCACGACCCTAGCGAGGATGAAGCGGTGTATAGATAATGAATGGATGAAACCCTGTGACGCTTTGACATACAAGTGTTTCAGTGGCTTCACCTACCTGTCTTAACTGAAGAAGCTTGTTAAAAATTGCTCTTTTCATAACTGCAACCTGCAGTGTTCATGAGGTGATGCATGTGACTTTCATTATAACATGATCTTTCAGTTTCATTCACAAAAATGCCTCCAAAGAGTAAAAAGAAGACGTGCAGAGTCATGGTTCTGCCTTCAGAAATCACTGAAGAAAAACATAACAAATTCAGTGTCGCATTAGAGACTGAAATCAATGAGAAAGTATTAACAATATAAGGGTTAATGATGTACCATCAGAATTGCACTGTATTTTGACAGAGGTAAAAAAAGGAATGGTTTCACATAAACTTGATGGTAAAAACGTCTTTCTAAACCAGAATGAGAGGCACTAATATGAGAGGCAGTCAAGGGGCAGCCATTGAGATATTGGATGAGAATTTTATAGCCCATAATGTGTGTTGTTACACTGTCAGGTGGAAAAGAGGATAATCCTGGACAGGGACTCATATTAAAACCCTGAGGCAGAGAGTCAGTGCATGGTCCCTACAGCTACTGGACGGTGTAAGTTCCTGTGCCAAAACATACCAATAAAAATATAAAAAACCATCTCTGTAAATTGGCAGCCATTGATGATAATCAGAATATGGTGAACAGCATGTTCATTTAGAACACTGTCTGTTCTGTTTATTTCTGCTTAAAAATGAATTGAGATTAAGGTATCTGGTACAAGTTGAAGGCAGACTATCTGTAGGTCAGGTCTGGTCAAATTTAATTTGCACCTAAAAGATGAAATTTTACTCAAAATGACGCAATTCTTTTAAATCATTCCATCAGTGGTTCTTGAATGAGGACCAATTTATTTAGTTTTCTGATGATGATCGTAAACTGCAGTTAAAAAGCTCAAATATACCAAGGACATGGGCCTCGAGGTGAGATTGTTTGACTTCCACACAAAGTAGTCGATCCTACGGACACATTTTTAGTTTCTGTTGTCAGATAGCTGAACATGAATAAAATATCAAGGTAACCAATAACTCCTTGCTTCGTGTATTGAGTGTACTGCTGGTTAATTAAGCTAAGTTCATATCAAAACCTGTATTATGTTACATGTTTTTGGCTGAGGGACAGAACGTTGGCCTCTTATCGTTGTTTTGTACCGTTGCAATTGCAGATAGGATGAATGGGCCTGCAGGTTGCATGACCAGACACTACCAAATAAGTTTTAAAATGCACAGCAGAACAATAGGTGGATGCTTCTCCTCTCTTAACTCTTCACCTTTAAAACTTTCAGGAGGACTGTGATCCAGTAGTTACGCTACTTTCACACCAGCATTTACAGCGGCAATGAGCAATCGGTGGATTTGCTCATGGATTCAGGTACTCCATAGGAAGCTTTCCAATTGTACAGCAAAAAGACAAAGCGGCACGGTATAGAACAGAGGGAAGTAAATCCCCAAATTTAGTGACCAAATTCAAACCATGTGGTGCAAAGTGTCTAAAAATGCTCCAGAGTGTTCAGAGGAAAAATGGAGTGTTAGTGTGCTGTAAGTCTGTGGATCCTGATGACAGAATTTGTCCTTGTGGCAGCTTTAAATTCTTACATTAGCTTCACAAAGAGGAAATGGACTTGACGAAATGGAAACCTCAGTTCCCATTCCTTAATGGCCACAGACACAGTTGCTTGTTTCTCCTGGGTGTCTGTTCTCATGTCACTGGGATGTACTGACGGCTGCAGCAGATTATCTCTGCAACAAATAGTCACTGCCACCCTGTAAAGCAGTAGTTGTAATGGTTCTCATGATATCTGTGTGGCTTTTACAGCTGCTCTAATATGCTGCCTTGGCCTAATGCCGTCTCTTCGAGTTAAATCCCGATTGACCACCTCGGAAGCACCCATTTGTGTTCTTACAGAACCCGGGGCTTTACTAAAAACAGTGTCTCAGACAGTCACAACCTCCACTGTCTGTGCTATAATCTACCAACTGATCCTCAGAGTGTGTGAACCTCAGCCCCCATGTGGATGTCAAAATGAGCAAGTTTACCTGTTCTTCTGGTAATGAGTTTACAGGCTGTGTACTAGGTCAGCTCTACATATCTGTGGGAATCCATTATGGTATTTCCCAAAAGTTTAAGCCCTTGATGCAGTTGTATTGTTTTGCATCTAGGGCAACC